TTGTAATAACGTGAGTATCTATCAATAAGAGCCTGGCTGGAGTAGTAGATAGCTGTGAAAAGGGATACTCCAGTGTAGAGTATTAGACAGCTGCAAAAAGGGATTCTGAAGAAGTTCAATTATATGTCTATAGAATGATCTGTATAATATATTTAATGAGTGGGGGGGAAGCAAGGTACAGAAGAAAGTGTGTATTAGATTTCCTTTATCCTAAGAGAGGGATGAGTTATAAATAATATGTATTGAGCTATATTTTTTTAATGAAATGCTAAATAAAGGCTAACAAAAATCACTGCCCATATAAACTGAAGGGAACTGTATGGAAAGGATGGAGATGGAAGGTAGAGTTCTCTAAATATAGCTTGTGCTAAAGGCCCCAGAAACCAATCTGTGAATACCATGTGGGGACTTCCACTGGCCACAGATGAAACAATTTGAGCATCAAGAAGAGTAAAGACTTTAACATAGCAAATACACTAAAACATGAATTCGTAATAGTACAAATTCAAGCACCTGAAACATGCTAAATACATTAAAACTCATAGATTCATATATTTTTTAAATGTCTTGATCATCTTTAGAGATTCCTCAGATACCAAATCTTTAAGTAGAAATTTGAAACACATCATTAAAGCAAGCATGAAATAAAAACAGCTCTGAGCACAGAGATGTTCATCACTTGCTGGTATTCTTTGGATAAGTGTACCAAAAGGCCCAGGTGTCAGAGCTGTGTGTCCCCAGCCCATGGTACTATTGAGAGGTGATGGAACCTTTAAGAGATGGGGCCTAGTGGGAGAAAATGAGGTCACTGGGGACTGTGCTCTTGAAGGGGATGCTGGGAGCCTGGCCCCTCCTCCCTCTCACTCTTTATTTACTTCAGGGTTACCATGCGGTGAACAGGCCTCTTCTGCCATGCATTCCAGTCATAAAGTATTATGCTGACAGCCCCAAAGCAACAGGACCACCTAACTGTGAACTGCAATGTCTGAAATGTAAGAGCCAAATCAACCTTTCCTCTTTAAAAATGACTTATCTTGGATATTTGTTACAGTGACAGAAAGTCATTAGGGAATGCAAGTCAAAACCACAATGCAACTGCCACTTCCACTTTGCATTGACTAGGATGGCTATAGTAACACGTTTTGGGAAGGATGTGTAGTAACAAAAACCTTCATATTGCTAGTGAGAATGTAAAATGGTTCAACCACTTTGGAAAGCACTGTGACAGTTCTTCAAAAAGTTAAACAGACTTATCTTATGCTCACCAATTCTACTCCTAGGTATCTACCCAAAAGAAATAAAAACATACATCTACAAAAATGTATACAGGAATATTCATGGCAGCATTATTCATAATAACCCAAAGGTGAAAACCAAAAGTCCATCAAGTGATGAATAGCTAAATAAAATATGTTATATACATCTAGTGAAATGTTATTTGGTAATAAAAAGGAATGGAGGCAATACATGCCACAACTTGGATGAAGTTCAAAAACATTATGCCAAGTGAGAGAAGACATATACATACATAACACATATTATACGACTCCATTTATATGAAATGCCCAGAATAGGCATGTCAATAGTAACAAAAGTAGCTTAGTGGTTCCCAAGGGCTGAGCAAAGTCAGGAATGATGAGTAATGGAAACTGGTTTCTGTGGAGAAGAAGGTCTGGAATTAGTAGTGATGGTTGAGCAATTTGTGAATATACTAAAATCTGCTGAATTGTATATTTTAAAAGGGTAAATTATGTGACATCTGAGTCATATTTCACCAAAGCTGTTTTTTTTTTCAGTACTGGGAATCAAACCCAGGGCCTTCTGTGTGCCATACACAGTGCTAGTCATTGTTCTCTAGGAGCTTGTAACATAGTAAGACAGAAACATACAGGTAATTTCAATTCAGTGTTGTACAAGTGTATGTATAAAGATAGATGCTTGTACTTGAATGTCTTGGGGCCACAGACCAAGGGCCACTAGCATAGCACAGGGCTTGTCAGCCAGCATTGCTGGCACTTTGCATTGTGACATATTTGTTGTTGCACATAGCAGGATACTGAGCAGCATTGCAGGCCCCTGCACATTAGATGCCAGTAGTACTCCACAACGTTGTAACAATGAGAAGTGTCTCCAAAAATTGTCAAGTGTCCCTTGGAGCACAAAACTGCCTCAGGTTGAGAACTACCCTAATGCAAGCATTATGAGGACAGTTCAGGGAGGCGGTCCCAAAATTCTTTCTGGAAGAGATGATGCTGAGCTAGGTCTACTCTGCTAGCAAGCTGAATAAGAGACAGTCCAAAGGGGAACTGAGGAAGGAGTCTGCTACCAGAGTTTGAGTAACAGCATAGAAGAGGGAACTAGGGAGTAGGGAGTTGAATACACGGGTAGATTGCAGTGGGAAAGGAGAAACATGAGTTCAGTATTGCTAACCTATGTATTTTGATCATTCTTTGACTTGTTTTTCTCATTCTTTGTGTTTTAGTTAGTCCAGGGTCAGGTTGACAGCTGGATTCTGAACAGATAGTATATACAAAAGCACTCCACAAATCCTGGGAAGTGCTATTCATATGTAAATTATCTATTGCCACAACAACAGCTGAAAACAATGCACTTTCTAGCGTAATTTTGTTTGGTTGCACTCTATAATCTTCAAAAATTCTAAAGAAGAGGATATTACTGCACTGCTTATTGAACCATTGTCTCTCAGCTTAGGGAGCTGGGGTGACCAGTGCAAGCCTCGCTTCTCAGCCAGTTGGCGCCTTGGGAAATCTGCCAGTAGGGGGCAGTAGAGGGCCATAACAAGCCTGGAGAAGAGAAAGGTATTACTCTTTGCTTTACATTCTCCTCAAGGTCGCCTTGACAATATTTCTTCATCCAAGAAGCTCAGTTTGTTTTGGTAGAAGCGATTTATTCCAGTTTTCCTTATAGTTCCAGAGCCAGCTTCATAAACCTTGTCGAGAGCACAGCACTCACCAGTGTGGGAATTTACCCTACTCAGAGGCCTGGATACCAGCTCTGGGGGCCCCTTCCCCAAGCTTCTCAGTGTTAGTAATTCCAGGTTCACTGGAGATCACCATGTTAAACACAATAAGCTAGACTCAGAAAGACAAGCATTTCAAGTTTCCCCTAATATGTGGAATCTAGGAGGGGAAAAAAAGATAACATGAAAATAGAAGGGAGGCTATTAGATAAGAGGATGGGGGTCAGGGGCAGGGGGCTAAAAGAGTAATAGGAGGAATGGATACAGTCAAAATATATTATATGAAAATGCCACAATGAAATCTAATATCTTGTACAATTAATATGTACTAATAAATAATCAATCAATAAAAATAATTCCAGGTTCATGCCTGTTCCCTCCAGACATAGAGGCAGAAGCTGCTCCCTGCATTTACTTTGTCCATGGTCTCTGTGTTCTCTTTTCAGCTTTGCAATGAATATATCTTCATACAGATTTACTTTCACTAAAATAACTGGCCATTTCTGTTTCCTGATGGACTGACTGCCATCCATGCTTCTCATCCCAGCCTTTAGTCACTGCAAATAATATTCAACCATCACAGAGGAGGGAAGAGTGACAGCACACACTCCTGAATCATTTAGGGACCACTAATTTTCGGGGAAAAAATGGTTTTTTGAAAGAAACAGAAAGCATTTGATGGGTCTGGAGAACAGCTGAGAAGAAGGACAAGCACAAATAACTCTGCATGGATTCCATGGACTAACATGTTCTGGAAACTGCTATAAGGAATAAATTCTTCTGCGTAGGGTTTGTTTGCATGTTAGCAGCTACTAGAATGATAATTTATATAATATGCTGGACAGAATAACAACAATGATCAGCCACTTTGCTTTTATTTCTTCAAAGAACATTGAGGTCCTACTGTGTACACATAAGACAAAGTCCCTGCTGTCAAAAAAAATATTTTTAAATCCAACTCTAATAAAAATAAGAATAAAAAAGTGAGAGAACTGGCTAGGAAGGACATTTTCCAATGTTTCCTTCCATTAACGAGGCACGTGGTATGAAAGCATTCTTTGAAGACAGTTATTCAAATGTACTTGTGTTTTTAATGTCATTTTAATGTGAACATAATTCCTTTCTTTGTTTTTTGGTACCGCGGATCTAACTCGTGACCTTGCGCTTGCGAGGCAGGTGCGGTGCCACTGAGCTAAACCCTCGGCCCCATAATTCCTTCCTTTATTCTTCAAACCTTTTTTGGTGAAAAATTCTACACGTACATAAATGTACATTTAAAAGAATTATTATAAATATCTATGTAAGCACCATTGGGGATTAAGGTCAGAAACTACAATGTCAAAGGCACTCTTCCTTATAACCCTACCTGCCAGACCTAACCACGATCCTAATTTTATAGTAATCCCTATTTGACTTTTTTTTGTTTTTTGCCCCCATAGTGTTCTCCACTAAATGTGCATCTATAAACATAATACGGTTTGATTTAGCTTGTTTTTAATTTTTATATACAAAAGCATATCGTATGCATTTTTCTGGATTTCTGTTATTGTTCCATATTTCATTTTTGAGATGTCTCCATGTTGTTCCAGGTAGCTGAATTCCATTCCTCTTCACTGCTATGTAATACAAAGTATATAAATACTGTTTGATGATCAGTTTTCTCCAGACTGGGTGCATATAACCACACACGTCCTCGGAGTAAATATCGAGAAGTGCAATTGCTGGATCCTGCAGTATAGTATCCCAGATAGTGCCAAACCATTTCGCCACCCTATTCACACGCCCGCTAAGCCTATGTGAAAACTCTGTGCCTTCTATACGCTTTAACACGTGTCACTGCAAACTTTTAACCTAACCTACGCGTGTGTGGTGGTATCTAGTGTGGGTTTAACTTTCCCTTTTCTGATTTTTAACGAATTAAGCACTTTTCCAAGAAACTACAAATACTGGTCCCCCCCCCCCCATATCTCTGCCCCGTTTCTTTCTCTCTCTGTCACCTTTCTGAGTCTGTGAGAAGTACCTGTTTCAGCCATTTCCTCCACTCATTTTTTAACTGCTTTCCTTTTCTTCTCGAGTTGTAGGCGTTCTCCGTGTATCCAGCAGGTTCACCTCCTTCTCCTTCCACCTCAGAGCAGGCGGCCCGGCCGCATTCCCCCTCCCGGCCCCTTCCCGGCAGCCATCCGGGTCGCGTCACCGTCTCTAGGCAGCGCGGGCGGGACCCAAGCGGCCCGTAGGAGCCCGTAGGAGCCCGGCGGCGGCGCAGGCTCGAGGACCGGGGTCACGGCCGCACGGCCGCCCGCGGAGCGGCGCGGGGCAGGTGACGGGCGGTGGCCTCCCGGAGCGGGGTGGGCGGCGCGCCGGGGGAGGGAAGGGCCGGGCCGGACCGGGTGAGGACTGAGGGAAACCGCCCGAGCGAACGGGCTCGGGATGGGAGAACTCCGAGTCGGCGCGAAATAGCCTTGGTCACCCGGGCGGAAGGGTGGAGGGCCCGGGGCCAGACCGGCCACCCAGAGGCTCCCGGAGGGTCCCTGACCTCCGTCAGGCGGGCCGGCCCAGGGTCCCTCAAAGACAGGCGACGGGGGAAAACCCGATGTCTTTTGTGGCAGCTTCTGGCCTGTTCCAGTCCTCAACAACTTTTTCTTTGCCATTCATCTTGGTGAGTGCAAGCAGGCTTGCTTTTCACCGACCAAAACACATTTCGTCTGTCCCAGGACTTGTGGGCTAGAGGCAGGGCCTTGGAGGGATCCCTGTGAAGCTGGCCGTCTGTCAATCCCTAGTTACCATTGGATATGTCCTTGCCAAGCTAGTTAACTTAGAAGGAGATTGGTCAGCCTAGCCTGGTCAGAAATTTCAGTGGCACAACGGTTTTTCATTGCGTGGTATTAGGGAACCACATTCATTAAATCTACCTATTTTCAGATTGATCCAAACTGTCACCTTTTCCTTCTTGGGTCACATGCTTCTACTATAAGATCAGGCCTCCGCAGAAAACTCTGCTTTGTGGAAATGGCTATGTTCTTTTCATATGCTCCCAAATTCCATTAATTTGTTAACAAAATTATCAATTTCTATGGTCATTGTTTACTTTAGAAAAATAAGAGAAATTGAATGAACTGAATTGTTTTGTGAAAGAGCAATTCTAAATTAAGCCACAATTTTTTTTTCTTTTTTCTCTTCTCTTTTCTGGTGTTGGGGATTGAACCCAGAACCTCACAAATGCCTGACCACTGAACTACATTCCTGCTCCATACTGATTATTTTAAGCTTGTTCTTCGAGATCTCCAATACATTGACCTTAATTTTTATAGTAAAACCAGGGTTTATACAAATTTATAGTTAAAATGTTAGTATTTACTGGACTTAATGCTTTTCCAAAATTCTCTAAAGTACTAGTCAGTCTGCTTATCAGTATTAAAGTATATGGCAGAATGCAATACATACTTTTAAAATAAGAGACTTTCGATAGCAAACCAGTCTGTAAAAGTAGGCAATGATTTGTTAGTCTACCAACAGGGGGACTATGGAGTTAAATAGAAAATCATTTCATGTGTATTTCAAAATGAATGTTACCTTTGTCTGCTGTTTGCCAAGGTGCTTTCCTCCAAGGACTTGACAGGTGTTTTTGGAAACCTTAGCAACAAGATCAACATAAGCAAGCCTAAGAATAGGAATAAGGTTATATTATTTAATTAAAATTAGAATTTGTCAAAAGGATATGAGCAAGGCAATAAAACAAATTTTACAGTAATCTCTAGTGGTTAAGGTTTCTGTTATGTGGCTTACAGAAAGAAAATAAAATTGGCATAAAGGCAGCGAGATCGAAGATAAACCAAAACAGAAATGCTGGATAGAGATGAAAGGAAGTACAATCCAAAACATCATCTCCTTTCAATCCTGCATGAACTCAAAGCACCCTTTTCATAAACCACCTCATGGGTCACTGTAGCAGTCCTTTGAGACAGTGAGGGTTCACTTGGAATCATACTTTTAGGCGACTTGGGCTCCAGCTAACCCCTAGCTGTGATTCAAGCCAATCTCCTACCCACCCAACTCTCCCCAGGACAGCATCTCTTTCAGGTAGGTAAACATCCAGCCTCTGCTTTGAATTGCTCAGTGGCAGGAGCTATTGTTGAACAGTTCTGTTAATATTATGTTGTTGTTGTTGTTGTTATTTAATATTAAGCTGAGGTTGATGTCTATATAATATCCACCTAAATGATAAGTTCCTCTCTAGTAGCACCCTGGGTATCAAAATGTCTTTTCCAAATGATGTAACTGACCAAAATGGTCTGGGAACAAAATGACTTTCCTGTTTACATTTCCTACTGGGGAAACCATATTCTTCTCTCCTTCTTTTACTTTCCAAAAAGTAAGATAGATGGAAAGATAGATTAGATAGATCAATAGATAGATCTGGGCCTTTGAAATAAAGCCACTAAAGTACTGTCTGCCATTAACCATTTGACTTTGTCCCAGCTTGTATTTAACAAGCCCTTGGAAACTGGAAATAAGAATCTAATTTGAAGCAGCCATTTGATTTCCTCAGTAAAACTACATTTGATGATTTGGGCTGTTTATGAGCTCTAAATTAGATGTATTTCTATGGAATGAGAGACAATCATTTTTCCAGCAGACCTTGCTCATACACACAAAAAGATGCATACAAAAGCCTTCAGATAATAAGGTTCTCTCACTCAATTATATTTTTGATAGACATTACCATTAAGAAAATTTCAATAGTCATAGAGTAACATAAATATAATTTTTTTAGGTAATGCTGTTGTGAGCCACAACTTTAAATATCAACTGACTGTTCCCATCAACAAAAGTATCCCATTAATTTTTGAATTTTTCAAAATGAGCAATAGTAAACTAATACCCAAGCTCTCCATTCAATCTCCTGTCCATCATAGCAACTTAAATGATCAGTCCTCAGATCTACTTTTTAAGAAAGACTTAAATCTGATTTCAAAAGACTCCTTAGAGTCAGATTCAGAAAGCCTCACTCATGAGAATAAGTCCCAATCTGAACTTGAGGACCAAATCCAGGACAAAGATATGGAGCCGGACAGTTTAGAGGAGAGCCCTGCACAGGAAAGCCTGAGTGAGACAGAAGAGGAAGCCGGGAAAACAGCAGTTCATATGGCCCAGGAGGAAGACTGCTCTACTCAGGACAGTGTCGGGAATAATAGGTAAGAAACTGGCTTGTATAAGATGATAATATTCAATAACTAATGGCGTCATCCCAAATGACAGTTAAGGACAGGCTTTCCATGAGTGCCATGTGTGTGAGACAGTTCTCCAAAAGGCTAAAGACAGTGACTCCTTGCTTTTTGTCACTTTCATTTCTTTTTTAATTGAAAAATGCAATAGATATTAATAATGGCATTTGCATTTCTTTCTTTCTTTCTTTTTTTTTTTTTTTTGGTACCAGGGAACTCAGGACCTTGTGCTTGGGAGGCAGGTGATGGAACCACTGAGCTAAATTCCTGGCACAGCATTTGCATTTCTTATACTCCTTATTTCCTATCTATATTCAAGGTTTCCACTGCTCTCACCTTGCCTTGGAGAAACCCTAGAAAGCCTGGTATCGAAAAGTACACAACTCGAAATCTATTGGTCTCAGTTTGGTCCAAGCACTGCTGTTTAGTGTAAAACTTGGACTAAATCACTTAACTTGGTGGATCATTTTTTCTCTTCTGTTAAATGACTGCTTATCTAACAGGATTGCTGTGAACGTCAGTAAAATACAATAATTGGGGGTAGGCTACTACCTGTCCCCTTCCTTTGGTGCTAGTAGAAGTCTGCCTCCCAGGGCCTATATGAGACTATGCAGATTCAATCTAATAATCAATATTTATGGAACTTAACTTTATGCTGTGAGCTACCAAAAAGTAAGGGAATATAAAATAATGTGATATAGCTCCATTTTAATGAGGCATTAGATGATATGAGAGAGTCTAGAAGAAGTTAAAAGCTATTAATGAGAAAGAAGTTTTAGTGTGGGGAAGAAAGGCATAGGGTATGAGCAGACTACTTGGGTTCAAATGCTGGTTCTGCTACTTACTAGCTGTATGACCTTGGCTCAGTTTCTTTATCAAAAAATGGTATTCTAATAGTGTTATGTTACAGAGTTATGTGTTTAGGACAGTGACTAGCTCTTTACATATTATATGTTTTCCAAAATTAGAGGTCAAATATATCAAGGAGTGTTCATTGGAGGGCCTAGAATTTGGACAAGGTTTTGAAGACAAGGAGATTGGGATAACAGAACAGAATTAGGGTGACATGTTTGTGGCATATTAAGGAGGCCAGCTAAACTGCAGAGGCATTGTTCTAAGTGTAGGGCAAATTGAGTAGGGACCTGATTAAAGGGGCCTTGAAAATGTGCTTTTGAGATGGAAGACAAATTTATAGGTCATTCACACTATACCACAGAACTCAGAGGACTTGTCCTAGGGACACAGTCACAGCAAGGACTCTTGTGGGAGCTAGCATTAAAGTCCAGTCCTGAGTCTTGTTTTCCCTTTCTTCTCTTTCTTCCTTTCACTAGGAACACAAAGTTAAATGAAAATCATGTGTTCCTTAGGGAAATCTCAAGGTACAGTAAACGTGTAAGTACTGTCACTGAGGTGCTGAGGCCAGAAGAGGGGTGCAGGATGGCTTCAACAAGATATACACCCTTAATTGGAATGGGTTGGGTCAACCAGGAAGAGAGAATACAGGTTTTTGGGGAAGGCAGTAAAATGAAGCACTGTTTAAGGAAGTTATTCTGCAAGTGGAAGCATTTTGAACTAAAGAGTAAACAGTGGGCCAAGAGACTTCCAGATGGTAATAACTGGGGCAACACAATACCACTTTCTGAAGGCCTCTCTGTAGTATTCAAGTTTTTCACTGTAATCCTGTAGGGAAGGTGCTACTTTCTCCATTTTACAGATAGATAAACTGATGAAATACAGTAACTTGTCTCAGGTCATCAGGCTCTGAGGCGATGTTTGTTGTTTTGTTATTAATGCAAGCTGTGTGTGTGTGTGTGTGTGTGTGTGTGTGTGTGTGGTGCTAGAGACAGAATCCAGGGCTTTGTGCATGCTAGGCAAGCACTACACCATGGAGTCACATCCTCAGCTCGGCTTTTTTAATTATGAAAGAAATCTGCAGAACAGTACAGGGTAAGACACAATATGACCATGATGGCTGTATTTGTTTTTGTTTTTGTTTGGTTTGGTTATTTTTGTGGTACTAAGTATTGAACCCAAGGCCTTCATATTGAGCTACAGACCCAGCCCCTTTTTATTTTTTAATCTGAAGGAGGGTCTAACTACATTGCTAAGTTGCCCAGGCTGGGCTTGAACTTGTAATCCTCCTCCCTTAGTCTCCTAGATTGTTAGAAATAACAGGCATGGCCACATGTCTGGCTGTTTCAAATTTTTAAAGTTATAAAATATTACTGAATAGTTTCCTTGTACCCCTTCTCAAATCCATTCCCCTATTTTCCTTCTTGGAATCAACCAAAACTACAGTACACTTATATTGGTTTACATCCTTGTTATCAATCTTTTATTTCTTTCTTTCATAATTAATCTATAATTAGTGGAGATAGATTCCTGTTTTATTCAGTCAACATTATGTTTTTTATATTTTACCATTGTATTTTTGAATTACATCATGAATTAAGGTCAATCATTCTTGACTTATTTGTAAGTTCCATTATGTGAACGTGTAGTATCCCGAATATTTAGATTGTTTCCAGTTCTGCTTATTTCACACAGTGCTCAGGGCACATGCTTGAATGTCTCTTTGGGTCCATGTGCAAGAGTTTCTTTAAGGTTTATGTGTCTAGAAATGGAATTGCTAGTTCAGGGGAGAGTAAACATCTTCAACTAACCTACAATGCATTTGAGTTCCCAGTCGTTACAATTACATCTCTTTAATTTTTGCCACTCTGACAGGTTATAAAATCCTATCTTTTTATAGAATAATCACTTTTCCCTAATGACTTGTGAATGTGTTTTTAGCCAAAGGAGATCTAGATAATTTAACAAAATATCATGAGTATGGAGTATTTTTCTGTATTTTGAATTGTACATTTACCTGCTATTACATAGTATCCCAGTATCTAGAAATGCCATGATGTAATTTATCTAGTCACTCCTGGATGGACACTGGGATGTTCCCAATTGTTGGCATTTTAAACAATGCTTTAGTTGAAATATATTTGAAAGAATGTCAGAGTTTATATGATGCTTATGGTGAACCCATTGCTATGCTAAAGGCTTTATGGTATAATTTCATTTAATTCTTATGACAGTTCCATAGGTGGATTCAGTTAATGATCCCATCTTGAAGGTTGCAGATAAGGGCTCTAGAGGTTGCATTATAACCATTCATTGCAACTAGTTAGTGCTGGAGCAGAAAGCTCGGGCAGTCTGACTTTATGCACTGGACCATGTTTTTGTCCTGGCTCTGAGAGATTCATAGTCTCCTTCATCATAAATGAGTACCTTTGTCTGTATTTTTCAGATGAAAATAATACAGGAATCCAATAAGTGACCTCATTTCCTCAATTTTTGAGTTTTTCTTCCTTTTGTTCAGTTTTGAGAGATCTAATTTGACCCTGTTCTTTACCAAAGGACAATTTACTACTTAATGTAGTTCAAGTAATAATACTTATAAAAATCAAAATTATAGATTGATTTTTGTTCTTCTGATTCAGAGGTCTTTAAATAATGCCATTTTCCTCAGATTTACTTGCCTTGGAAATGTTGAATAATTGATTCTAAACTGTGGGGCAGGGTTAGAATGGGTTATAACCCTAGCAATTGTTAGTGTGTTGTGCTTTACTCATTAGACGCTAAAGGATAAGGTCCACAGTGCAGAAGTGAAGATTTAGCCAAATAATGCCTAAAAATGTTATTCAAGTGTGGTTTAGTTACTGGCCCCTTTCTCTGCTTCACATAACTTTTATAAACTTTTCCCAGGTGTATTATTGCTCAGATCTGAGAAGTGATGAGTTATGATATGGATGAATAAATTGATCTCAGACTCTCAAGAACTTCAAGTAGGCTTTCACTTCTGCAAGACAGATGGCATTGTGGGAATTGTAGTTCAAAAGCTTAGTCAAAGTATTGCCTTAAATCAAGGCAAATATTTCTTCTTGCTTTTGTAAACAATCATTTTAAAAGCTGCCTGACAATTCACTTAGCTTGACTCTTGTGTTTTGATGTTACTAGAACTGCCTCAAAGCAATTACTTCCCTGTGTCTCACTAAAGTCAAGCCATAGCTCGGTGTCTATGGATTAGAGAAAAACCTTTTATTTTGCAGAAATTGGAGCAGCATTGACTGTAGTCAAGAGTAGAGAGAGGATCTTCATGTGGAAATCCTTAAACCCCACTCCCAAACAAGCCACACTCGTCTCTCTTGAAGAAAGAGATCAATGTAATGCCTAGGGCATTAGAAATAACCTCTTCAGACCTGAAGCCTCTGAAGACATTTTTTTAAACTTTTTTTTAAATCAGAAAACAGCAATTTAATGCCCTATATATCTGTTCAATAAGGTCTTATTTACAGAAATGCTTATATAATTACTACTATTTGTAGAACTCTTTGTTTTAGTAACCTATCACATTTATCCTTACAAGAGCCTCTTTGATATGTGTTTACTTACTTTCTTTTTAAAAAACAGTGGTAGGGGGCTGGGGATTTATCTCTGTGGTTCCACCTGCCACCTGCCCCCGCAAGCGCAAGGACCTAAGTTCGATCCTGGTACCAAAAAAACAAAACAAAACAAAAAACAGTGGTAGGGATTGAACCCAGGGCTTTGTGCATGCAATATACACCCTTTACCTCTGAGCATGTTACTGCCCCAGGCCCAAGGCATTGTCCCCATTTTTCAGATAAGGTTCCAAGATTTGTATAGGTGCACCTAATTGCCAAGTGTCAGAACCAGACATTAAATTGAACTCTCTCCTAACTCCAAAACCTGAGCCTCTAATAATGAGTATTTAAAAAGGTAATCATGGATTAATCCAATAAAGGAATCCATTTTAATACTTAGTAAAAACTAAAGAGAACAACTCCAGCATGGACTAAACCAAGGCCAAAATGACTATGTATAAAATTACAATTTTTAATAAAGTAATAAAAAATTTAAAGAATAAGTAGAGGATGATTGTATTTTAATCCTGGCCAGTG